TTGTCACAAAGTGGAATTCACAACTGATATTTTCTGCATAGAATTATAATTCTATGCAGAAAATATCAGTTGTGAATTCCACTTTGTGACAAGAGGTGCTTGTCAGATATATAGAGGGCAGAAAGAATGTAAAAGTTCCAGATTTAGAAACCTTTGACTGTCCAGGACACACCTCAGAATTTAGGGCATTTTGTTCTCTCTACGTAGAACAGAAATGCTTCTTGGTAGCACATTGTCTCTTTGGTAATCCATCTTGCTTCCTCCTTGTTGTTATTAATGTCATCAAAAAGATGCTAATAATCACTATTATCAGGGTGTGCAAAATAGGTCTGAAGGAATCCATCCATGTTTAAACGAGCAAGCCAAGGCTGCTGTTCATGTCTCTTGTCTGCCTTTTAGCTTGGGAGGCGTTCGTAGCAATGGAGAAATCGGCTGCAGAGTTCACAGTAGGCAAAGCCCTCACGGAAGGATCTATGGCCGCCAACCTTCTGAACTTAGCAGCTCAGTTTGCCTTGGAGGTACAGGTTGGATCCTCGCGTCTGATGGGATCTCTGTAACGTGTCCTTTTCAATTGAACATGTTATATAAAGTCAGTAAAAGCAAAGCATTCCATTCTCCAGGAGGCTGGCAATTTACAAAAAGAGCAAAAGCCAAGGAAGGGATGGGAAGAGGGAAATGAGCACAATTTGGATACTGTATCCTCAGTTGGATACTTACGATGATGTGAAAGAGAGAGAGAGAGGGGATATGAATTAGTGAGATACTGGAGCTGAGTGAAGATGTTCTAGTCCTCATGGTATTTCTCAGCATTCATTTTATGCTTTGAATTGAGATTCCCCAAATATAGGAATTGAGTTTTTTTAGCATGACTATGTTTATACTGTGATTAACTGTGATTAAAATATGACATTCATTATGTTCAGGTAGAACACTGGCTGCCTGTNCATTCACTAACCACAGGATGTTCTAGCCAACGTCCCTATGTCAAAACTTGTGTCAAAAGTCCAAACCACAAAGTTCAATTAAAGTTCGTTAATAACACGTAAGCCATACCTGAAACAAAAGGAGAAGTAAGACCCTCATCTCCTTATAAGGTTTTCTCCTCAAGGTAACGACTAAGAAATGTGTGAATATTTCCGTGTTGCAATGCCTTTGGGAATGTATAAGAACGCGTGCTTCGATAATGAAGATTGTTCAGAACTTGCAATGCTAGCCATTTTGTTAGCTTTCTGAACCTGGCTGCCAAATAAACATTTTCCTGTATCCTGAGAAGTCTAAAGCCTGTCATTTTCTGCAACAAGATGACCCCTGAGGCTGAATCCTAAAGAGAACCCTTTAGGATTGCTTAAGCCTTAGGAGAACTCTTATGTAAACCCCATCAACTGACATCCTTGGGTTCTGGCATTTTATTTAGCTACCGGAAGAAGAAGGGAAAAAATTTCACTTGTCTGACTTGAAAACAATTTGCTGCCTCTATTTTTATTCTAATGTTATTATATCTTTCAGAGTTAATTAAAAAATTGATGAACCAAGAGACATTATTTGATATAACAGACAATATTGACAAGCTGTTCAGCAAGATAGAAATAAAGCAAATAAAGAAAAGCTGTTCAGCAAATAAAGAAAAGTGGAAAGAGAATCAGAAAGCCCAGGTAGAGAAAGAAAAAAATCATTAAAGGGAATAGGTTGAAAATTTAGGAAAGTAGCCCATTAAAAAATCCTATTACAAACATTTGATGTGTTAATTATTCTGTTCTTCCACATACTGTATTTCCAAAGGTGTAAAACAGTTGCTGTGCATTGGCCCAAGTCTTTCTCTCAGCATAAACAAGCATATCCTTGTTTTTTTTCCCCTACAGGTCGAGGAAAGTGCAGTTAACTTATGGAATTGGACTGTGGCAAAAAAAACAGCTCCTGGTATCACTGATATGCAAAGAGTTAAATGTCAGTTTGAATTCACAGCCATAAATCACAGCAAGAATATTTTGATTTACTAAAATGAGTAAAATATTTTCTGTTTAGCTTCTTGCATAACCTCTCATGAATGTCCTTACCTTCTTGAAAATCTATAGATGTTTTATACCTTTCTGTGCCCCATTAAATCACAGAATTTGCAATATAAAAATATTTTGTTTCTAATGTCAGCACTAAAGGGAATCAGAGGCAGAGACTGACGTTAGTGTTTGCTGCTGCTGTTTTTTTTTTTTTTTTTTTGAAGTTGATGCTGGAGTGAATGAATTGGAACAAATGGAAACGGTGAACTGAGCACAGCATGTATCTCTCTCAAACGTGTTTCCCTTCATACTGTTTACGCCTATTTTGCATTTTCACTGAGCATTGAAACAGTTAATGTCTTTGCATATTTCTCTAGTGCGCCATGTAGCCTGCAATCTGATGATGATTTGTGAAGTAAGTGATCCAAACGAGGAAATGATACGAAGGCAAATTTTGGTAATATAGTTTATGTCCACATATTATTTGTGTTTGTCTTCTGTTTCCTGACATGCTAAAGTGTTGATAAGGTTCAAGAACGTTAGAAGAATATTGTTTTCTAATATATTTCAAATTTTTATTCTGTGTCCAAGAGAAATCGACAGTTTTAGCTTGTTGCAAGCCAACAATTTAAACAAATTATGATAGCTGAGAAGTGATGTAGAAGTAGGATATGTGTATTCTTACCTTAAATAATTGAGGATGGTTATTGTGCCTAAAGCAACCACATTATAAAAGTCTCTAAAAGATTACATCAAATATATATAGTTTCTAGATTTGCCAATATTTCTGATTCCTTTTAAATCTGCATATGTCTTTTATGATCTAGATGTTAATGAAGACTGGAAAAGGTTGGGTGGATGTTGGAAAACCTGCCCTTGCAAATAAATTCCTTGACATTGCCCTGCGTGTAAGTTGAGGGTTTCCAATGTAAGTTTTTAGTAGGTGAACATTATAGTGGTTGTATGTATGCTAAGCTTATTGCATGCTTTATTTTACAGGATGTAGAGAAACTTTATGATCAGCTGAACAAGGACTGCAGCAGTGAGGCTGAGGCGAATATGCACAAAGCTGACATACAGAAAGATATATTCAAAGTTCTGTCTTACCAGGCTGAGTCTGTACGTTTGAAAAATAATTCAATCCATTGTAGCAGCATGAGGGCAACAAGTGGATTTTATCCATGTTGTTATTATTCAGTAACAATACTACAATAAATAACATTCTGTAACTATTCAAAAACTATATTCTACACTTGGTTGAATTGCTGCCTCCCATATTGCTCCTCTAATGCAAAATTGTATTACATTTTTAAACATTAATTTAAAAGAAACGCATGTGTCATTCTAACAATTCATTGGCATATCATGTTGCTTTCTTAGGCAGTTGCTTTAGCAGACTTTCAGAAAGCTGTCGTGTGTGTTCAGCGGTGTAAAGACCTCCTGATAAGACTCCCAAAAGAGGTCAGAGATTAGATCTCAAGTGCTTTTTTATTCTGTTGTACTGCCCTGGTCTTTCAGAACTATGAAAAAATAAACTTGGTTAATTCTCAGCTTTTTAAAAACAGCAATTACAAAACTATGGTATAAATGACTCTAATTTAATTACAGGTCTGTTACCTTTCTCTCCTATGCTATAACTTTGGCATAGAAACACATGAATTCAAGAGATATGAGGAGAGTTCCTTTTGGCTCAGGTAATCTGACTCTATTACTTTTGGCTTGGGTTATATTTTGATAAGCAATAAATAAAATGTCCAACTCTGCCCTATGGACAGCCACTGGGATTCAAAACAAGCATTTATCAGAGTGAGCGATCTGATTCTGTCAAGTGATTTAGAGATTCTTCTAGCTGTAGCAGAGGTGGTCAAGGCTAAAGCAATTTAGCAAGTGCGTTTGAAGGGTCCAGATGGTTTGATGCAAAAAAAAAAAAAAAAAAAGTAGAAACTCTGGATGTTGGTCCTTTCAGAATTCCCTTAACTCCAGCTTTCTTTTTCTTAAATAAAGCAATCATCACTATTCAGTTATGTAAATTTGCAGATGTAATTTACTTATAATAAGGTGCCATTTAAATGGGTTTTGTACATATGATCTATTTCTAGATTAAAGGACTGTTGCACAGTCTCTCAAAATGCCTGCATAATACATGCAGGGTGGCTTTAAAGTAACAAATTAGAGAGTTTATTTGCCAAAAAAAACCCCACATTCTATCCTGGTTATTTGAAAGAGAAGACTGTTTTATGAGCATTAGTGCAGTATATAGCATAGATATAGATATGCCTGAAAGCATCTAGGTCCTGCCCCCCCCCCCCTCAGGGAAAAGCTTCATCTATTCTGTTCCTTACAGTAGAAGACCTCCAGTATAATTCGATAAGTATTTAAGGTGCTGTATGTCAAATAATAATATTACAAAATTAATACACTACAGTGCCAGGACATTTGGCACTTTAAGATCATCTTTGTAAATGCATCTTTAGGGCAGGCTTTTACTTATCAGGTGGGTCTTCTTTTCCCCTCCATGGTCAGTGAATCCATTCTGTTTCTTTCTTTTATTAAATAGCCTCAGCTATGAAATTGGAAAGATGCACAAAAACTCTTCAATTAGTAAAGAAATGCAGGTGAGCAATTTTTGTAATCCATTGGAGAATATCTTTGTCACTCAGTGTGAGAACTATTGATACATGACCTTTATTGCCCTTCTCCAGTTCTCAGCCTTTTGAGTGTAAATATTTATTTTATTTTATTTATAGGCAAAAGTGCTACGGTTATTAGCTACTGTCTATTTGGAGTGGGATTATAAACAATATCAAGAGAAAGCTCTCCAGGTTATCATCATGGCTAATGAGGTGAGGTAGATTTCTGGGCTAGGCTAATTCTTGTTAAGAGTTTTGCAATCAGTAGAATGACTCCCAAGAACGGCATTATAGAAAAGCTGTCTTGGTTTATAGTGGCAACAAAAAGGGAGAAAGAGTCTAGTAGTACCTTTTTCAACAAATTTTGTTAAAATTATCTGCTTTGGTGAGCTGCAGTCCCCTTCATCAGATGCTTGCTATACAATCGTGAAGTATTTATATATGCATAGCATACATTACAAATCTCAGTTCATTTCTATGCATCTGATAAAATTAAGGTCAGTGTAGTTTGTTGGTCCTAATAGTTTTTTAAAAAAAGTCAAAATGATGTAAAAAAAAAGAATAAAATATTTTGCTATTTAAAATGAGAATAACAGTTTGAGATCTCTGGGATTTGTTAAAATAACCTTTTAATTTCCTTAGATATGAGGCTTCTGAGGTAAAAGGCTTTTGAGGCATTCAAATGGAAGATTAAGCGCCATGTAGTGTTTTAACTGTGTGGTTCAAGTCCATCCTTCATCAGGGAAGTTCCCTGGTGTCTTTGAACCAAGGCAATCAATCTACCCTGTGGAATTCTATCTCAGGGAAAATGGGAAGAGTAGTGGGTTCACCACCCTGAACTTCTAAAAGGGGGCAGGGAGGGATATAAATCTAATAAGAACAATATTTATTAACTGGTAATATGGCAATAGCAGGTAGATCGAACTGGGAACAACCCACCTCTGGTCTTAAGTAGATAGATTCCTTGGGTTGAACAAGTACAGCAAGAACAAAGGCAAAATGGACTGCTAAATTGGCCACGCCCAACCAGTCACATGGTCACATAGCCACGCCTACCCAGCCAGTCTGGGCTCCCAACAGTGTGAGGGACTGAATCGGCCCCCTGTTCTAGAAGATACAGAGAATGCTCATGAAAACGTGGTGAATAGATCTGTGCTCTCCAAGCAGCTAGTTAAAATACCCTAAATCTGATAAAAAATAGTTTGAATGTCAAATAATAAACTTGGATGTTTCAATTTACAGGAGAATTTGCATCCAGCTGGTTTTTACTTAAAAATTAAAATTCTCCTGAAAAGTGATGCATCGGATGAAGATATTAGAAAAGGTATTATTCTTGGTTCAATATAAAACCAACAACTTTACCACTCTAAAGAATGTCTGAGTTGTAACAGAGAAGGAGGTGAAGTGAACTGGACTGTTTCTCAGTCTGTAGCAGTAACAGTTTCACTTTAACTTGTGCAGGTTTAAATTAAGATGATGTATTATTTTGGTTCTAAACAAAGGAAAGGAATTTTAAACTAATGCAGGAGCCCTTAAGAGTTTTGCAAACAGCATCCATGTTGACTCATGTGAATTCTTCCTTTCCTCCTTTCTACAAGCAAAGATGATTGGGTTTATTCATTTTCCTACTGCATAGCACAGTAAATTATCCCATTGAGCTTCATTTTTCTGTCCACCGGGGCTCTCTGGCCAGTGGCTATTTGATCAGTCTTTTATAAGACAAAGTACCATACTTGCACTTTAAATCCTCCCCCCCCCCCGCACACACACACCACCATCACCCCTTTTAGTGAACATGCTAACCTTGTTGTTGCTGCTTTCCAGCTGTCACTGAACTTCTGGAGCATGAGGTTTCTNCCCTTTTTGAATTGTGAGCCGCCCTGAGTCCCCCCAGGGAAAAGGGGCGGCATACAAATAAAGGAAAATGAAAATGAAACAAAATCATACTGAAATATTTTTCATATTTATATTGCTAATTAAAGTATTTTCCCTTCAGAATGATCAACAGGTCATGGCTATTAAAGCCTTGGAGTATTTATCTCAACACTTGGAGGATTGCCTGCAAGCGCTTACAGCAGTAAAGTGAGTAGCATATATAAATGCTGTTCGTTTCATAATTTGCTGTCAACATATAAAGACTTCGGTCCTTTTTTACATTTCCTTAAAATGCCCTCATTTTATATCTGGGAAGGATTTGCTTTACTTGAAATCTTGTTTCAGATTCATTCAGTATCTCTTAAATTAGTTCTGAATTTGAATCCATCCATACCAAATTATTATTAAAAGTTTTGCCGTCTGTTCAACACTAGATGTGCATTTTTTGTGCTGGAGTGATTCAGCAAAGGAGCAGCCGGCCTCTACAGTTAGTAACAATGATAAAAATAAAGAGTGTCACCCTTGAAGGAAAGTGGATGTTTTAAATTATGTGATTGCTAAACATCACATGGTATAATTGGCTTTTTTTGCAGGTGTTTGATTCGACTTACATTGTCGAAAGTGACATCTGAAGAAGAGACGTGAGTTACATTTCTAGTAATTGTGGATATTCCGTTTTTGATAAGGTGTTAGTCGGAAAAGATAAAAAAGCGACTTGAACTGTGTAGAAGGATATAGATGTCTAGCCGTGGTTATCTTGGAACTGTCAATAATGTAGTACTGAACTTAGATTTAGAGTTTCTTTTTCACCCCCTTCCTTCCTGCAATCATATTTCTGTTTCCTCATAGAAGAGCAGTGTTTACTCTTTGTTTATTCCACCTGCTGTTTTCCTCCCTTTAATATCATTTTAAAAATGTTAAATAACTCCCTTTTTTAATTTTAGGATTAAAGATATGGAGACACTCCTATCATACTTGACAGCAGGTATTAAACCAGCTAGATCTTTGTGTCCGTCCAGAGCAAGAGCTGCAGTGGGGAATGTCCTCTCTTTGGTACCCTGACAGATCTTGAACTGCTTTATAAAGTCACAGTCAGAATATACCACGTTTCCTAAATTCACATTTGTTGCTAACATTACTTCGTCTCTTCCAGCTCACCGTAGACTTGATGAGCTGCACAAAGAGGAAAAGGAGTTGCTGGAGATCAGGGCCAGTGAAGCTCAGTGGTTCAGAAAGATAGGTAGGCCACAACACGGAGCCCCCACCCCGCCCCCCCTTCAACCTGCATCCAAAACAAAAAGTATGGAGTGGAAATGCTTTGGCAGGGGAGACTTACATCAGGGATGCATGCATTCCCTTCTGTGCAAAATGATGCCATCTCCCTTCCCCCCCCCGCCTTCTGCATTCATACATAGACACAACCCTCCTCGGGGCGTGGCCTGTAATCCAAAACAAGGAAGAGCAATCTTGAGCACAAGGAATTGAGTTTCCTTGCACTTGTCAGCTCTCAGCACCTTCCGTCAGGTGTTTAAGACAGCTTGTTCACATGGCCATTTTGCCTCGTACATTCCAAGAAGGGGAGCCGAGGAATGTATCCTTGTGGATTGAAGAAGGAAGGGCTTTAAAAAGCAGAGGTCTTCTTCCATAATAATAGGAATCCCCATGTAATCTCCGTACAGAAATAATCCGTGGCTTTTTAAGCCCATCAGAAGAGAAAAAGCTTTGTCTTAAGCAGAATTGTTGTTAACTGCTGTTGGTGATGCTGCTAAATCTGACCTTCTATTTTATTTGCTTTATGAGCTTGGAACTTGGCTGTGCGATGTGAGGGCTGCTTAAAAGTGATGAGAGGTTTCTTTATAATATCCTTCAAGGTATGCGCTTCTCCCGCAATGCTCCCCGATGCCTTTGCAGTTGCAAATGTGGGTGTTCCTTGTGCAAAGCCCTCCTTGAAAGGAGCCCTGCTCCGTTACTTGTGAGATTTACCTTCGTATTCACGCCTTGTTACTGGCCGGCCGATGAGTAGCCAGCCAGCAACAACTGGTTTGAGTCCAGGAACTAATGATGGTTTCCCTGATCTCTTTTGCTCCAGTTCTCCCAGTTTTGTCCCCTTGATAAAGCAGTCCTGCTCGCTCAGAGAACGTGCCTGCTCATGGCTGCTGCGGTGAATCTGGACATAAGCCGAAGCAATTTGCTTCCTGCTGATGAGGTAGAACTTGAAAGGAATTCAAAGGTTAACTTTTGCATTTTAGGACTAATTTCCTCCTCAGGAAAGGCCTGTTAGTTTCAATTCTAATTAATTGTCCTATAGAAATGACTGATTGTCTTTGAAAATGGGAATAATGTTTGATACTTGAACAATTCTTCCAGTGCTTCACGTTTTACATCATAAGCCTGTATTCATTCTACCCTTTTTGTGCTTTAGAGAATTGACAGAACATTTTGTATGTATGTATGTATGTTACATTTTGTGTTGTATTTGTGCTGATAAATAAATAAAGGGAGACTAGTATAGATCTATTTCAAGCTATTTAGCTCTCATCAGCTAGCCATACCCTTATTGGGAATCGAACCTGGGCTGTATTAGTGCTGCTTATATTATTAGCTGCTTAGTGGTTAACACATCTGCCTAATATGTAACACAGCCCAGGTTTGAATCCCAGTAAGGGTATGGCTAGCTGATGAGAGCTAAATAGCTTGAAATAGAATCTATACTAGTCTCCCTTTATTTATTTATCAGCAC